CAGTGCTTCTGCGTTTTAGAATAGCTCTTTTAAGTTATTATCTACGGGCCTTTTGCCCGAGGATGACTTGAGATTCCTCTTTCTTTTTAGCTTTTTAACGTAAGCCTTTAGCTCAGCACTTCACTTTGAAGTAGTTATTTGTTTATTTTACCACTGATACACTTATAGGGCATATTTTTTGTATTCGTGCTACCTAGTTCTATTTATCGTTATTTTCAAATGTTTACTGACTGCAATTGATTATACTGAACATTAAGGAGATACACACTGGAACTTGCCCAAGTATTTCTTACGCAGATTCCCTCCACGTTACCACATCTCAATGGGATCTGTACTTAGAGTACATCAGGGATAGTGTGTTTCCATACTAGTAAAAAGGGTGAGGATTAATGTTGCGGGACCCATGGCCATGGATGCTTAGTTAAAACACCACATATGTATATATGTAAATATATATATATATATATATATATATATATATATATATATATATATATATATATATATATATATATATATGCACATAAGTATCTCTCTCTCTCTCTCTCTCTCTCTCTCTCTCTCTCTCTCTCTCTATATATATATATATATATATATATATATATATATATATATATATATATATAGAGAGAGAGAGAGAGAGAGAGAGAGAGAGAAGAGAGAAATAGATAGATGTATATATGTATATCACTACATGTACGTATCAAAGATTCCGTATAGTCCAGTAATTATTAATTTCTAATATCCAGTACCTTAACTATTATGGTCTTGTCAGTGACCTTGAACTTAATTTTGTTACCTGGTAGTATCTTTAGTGGCGTCAGTTACCTGCAAGGGGTTAGGGTTTGCCACCATCCGATAGAGGAATCGGAACCCATGTGTGGGAGTCAGTAGAAGGCGTTTAACATGTTCGCCCTCCCTGCCATGACCTATGGATCAGAAACATAGACTACGACCAAATTACTGAAGAGGAAACTAGTAAGTGCCCTGAGAGGAAGGGAAAGGTTGATGAGATTCAAATTCAAATTTTCAAATTCAAATATTTATTGAGCCACAAAGAAAGAAAATACAAAAGTACTATTTACAAAAGAGAAACGGCTGGGTACACTCTTAGGGCAGCTCACTGGTATTTACATAGAACATGTTACGTACACAATTACAAGGTATTTGCTAATAGATTATGGAAAAAGTAATATCAAATATTACAATTGTGGTTCACTGATTGGTTCACAGAGTACACATTCAATAGTGATAATGAATACAATTTTAGAAGCCTCTTGAAAGAGATCGGATAAGGGCGACATGAGTCGGGAACAGACAAAGGTGGAAAAGAATTAAAAAGAAGATATGTTAATGTGCTGGTCATATATGCAGAGGATAGGATGACAGATGAACAAAAAAGTAACAAACTGGGATATAGATAACATAAGAAGACCGAGAGCCAGACCAATAGAGCGGCAGCCAAGGGAGATTTGGTCAAACGAACGTGGTACCAATTGCTGAGTACAGGATCATGTAGAGAATGAGAGGGCATATGAAGAACTGGACGTCTGCCGGGGACCCCTGCTGCATTTGGCCCCTGGGGACCCCTTAAAGGGGAAAAAAAAAAAAAAAAAAAAAAAAAAAAAAAAAAATCTGCTAGATCAAACATACAGAGGTACCACACACAATGTATTTCAGGGTAATTTACATATCACACTAAGTAAAAAATGATTCATGCCAGACATAATCTCTATTAGGCCTATCAGACGCCCAAAACGGGCCTAAAAAAATGGGCTGGTTCAAACATTATTGGTACTACCTGAAACAAAGTTTTTATTCTTCAGCACAGCTGAGAGAGTACAGAATGGACAATGCCAGACAAATTACCTGCTGCATTATGCCCGCCAGACACACGCAAAAATGACCCACCCCCTCTGCTCTGGCAAAATGATGTAGATGGAACATGAAAGGTACTGAATGAAACTACTTTTGAATGAAAGGTAACATTCCACCAAGTACAAAGTGACCCTTGCCAGACATGCTGCCAGCTGCATTAGGCCTGCCAGAAGCCTAAAAAGGGCCTAAATATTTGGGCTGGATCAAACATTATTGGTACCACCTGAGACAAAGTGTATATACTTCAACACATCTAAGAGAGTATATATATATATATATATATATATAATATATATATATATATATATATTATATATATATATATATAATATATATATATATATATATATATATATATATATATATATATATATATATATATATATATATATATATATATATATATATATTTATACACATATGAATATACATATAAAGAAAAAATATGTATCTATATATACTTCTCAATAAATAAATAGATGAATATATATATATATATATATATATATATATATGTATGTATATATATATATATATATATATATATATATATATATATATATATATATATATATATATATGTATATATATATATATATATAATATATATATATATATATATATATATATATATATATATATATATGTACATATATATATATGAATATGTATATATGTATGTATGTATGTATGTCTATTTATCTATCTACCTACCTATCTATCTATCTATCTATCTATCTATCTATCTATCTATCTATCTATCTATCTATCTATCTATCTATCTATCTATCTATCTATCTCTCTCTCTCTATATTATATATGTATATATATATATTATATATATATATATATATATAATATATATATATATATATATATATAGCACAAATGTATGAATACACATACATACATACATGCATATATATATATATATATATAATATATATATATATATATATATATATATATATATATATATATATATATATAATGTATATGTATATATATATTTATACACATATGAATATACATATAAAGAAAAAAATATATATCTATATATACTCAATAGATAAATAGATAAATACATATATAAATATATATATATATATATATATATATATATATATATATATATGTATATATGTATACATATAATATATATTATATATATTATATATATAATATATAATAATATATATATATATATACATACATATATATATAAATATGTATACATGTATGTATGTATGTATGTCTATTTATCTATCTACCTACCTATCTATATATATATATATATATATATATATATATATATATATATATATATATATATATATATATATATATATATATATATATATATATATATATATATATATATATATATATATATATATTATATATATATATATATATATATATATATATATATATATATATATATATATATATATATATATATATATATATATATATATATATATGTACACGTATTTATACAGATATACATATATATGTGAATGTATATATGGATACATATATATATATATATATATATATATATATATATATATATATATATCGAAATCTAGATAAGACAGATATAATATTAGATTTCTGTCGTAATTGAGGTCGCCACCACAATCACTGTTTTCTTAAAAAACAGGGATAATATGTCCTTCAGGTGAATTAATTATTCAAAATCATAATTCCTGCAATGAAGGGAGTAAAGAAACTAAATATTGGAATTTCTTGCTTTTTACTATTTTTATAGATTTACATGAAATATTTTAAAATCATTAATGCAAATTCAATATATATTACAAAGCTTTCTAAGATTATATATATTCAAAATTATGCAGCACTGGAAAGATATTGAATTGACAGGTATATATGGCAGGCCCTGCTTACCAAAATAACCCCAAAAAGCCCGCAGTCCATGGCTGCGTCCCGAGATCAGTCTCGAATCACGCCCAACGGAACAGTGCGGCCGACCCGGGTCAACCCTCACGACCCCTCACTCCGGGTGCGCGCCCAGCATCGCGTGATCACTCGAACGATGTCCAGGCAACATGGTATTTTCCACTGTGGCCATGCCCCCGTGAATTTCCTTTTGCATTTATTAAATGTGGAAGATTCCTGATCTTCCACATATATACGCACAAATGTATGAATACACATACATACATACATGCATATATATATATATATAATATATATATATATATATATATATATATATTATATATATATATATATATATATTATATATATATACATATATATACGCACAAATGTATAAATACACATACATGCATATATATATATATATATATATATATATAATATATATATATATATATATATATATATATATATATATATATAATATATATATATATATATATATATATATATATATATATATATATATATATATATATATATATACATATACATATATATACATAAATACACACACTAATACATGCATATATATTTTGTATATAGGTAAACACTTTTATATATATATTACTTTTTATCTGTCTTTTAGGAGTCAACGACAGCGTGTGCAATTGTCTCGGGAATCCCAAAGGGCCGTTGGCAACCGGTCCGCAATGATCTGATGCCTCAGATTGCCTTGCGGAGTGCGGGAGGGCGGCGGCGCGCGACTCGTGAGGCGGGTTCCGAGGTAGGTGTTTGCAATGCTGAGGGCGTGCGACGGCATTCACGGGAGACTTTTCTTTGCGATTTGGTTTCTGAATTCCGCCTGTGCCACGTCGCAGAGTCAATGCTGGTAACAGAAATATCATGTAAATCGTCATAGACTCTTTTTTTTTCTTTTTACCATTTATTGTAATAACAAGATAAGGTAAATACAGCAATAAATCTTGGTGATATCACAACGGCAATATTACATATTTAGTATATTCAAATATGATGTGATATGCCTACATTTATTGTCATTGCGTCAGGTGAAAAGGCTATCCAAGACATCTTTTTAATTTTTATTTTTCATAAAATACAGCAATGAAACATAACTCATCAAAAGTGGACTCGAAGCTTTTCCTACTATTTTCAAAGCGGAATAATCTTTAGCAAAGGAAAATCTGCATGAAAAT